CCTGCCCCCCCCCCCCCCCTTCTTTCGGTTCCCATTATTTTATATATTACACACATGTTCTGTCAGCGAAGCTCACTTTGTTATCTGAAACATCTGTGGTACCCTGCTGTGGAGAAGGCCAACACTGCTGCTGCTGTTGCTGCCTGTCTTTATTAGCCACTGATTTGCTGATGTAGTCCTCCGATGGCATGCGGTGCTCCGGTTCACCTCCGTAACACCGGGGCTGCACGGCAGAAACGACGGGATTCTGTGAACTGGCAGAGAGGTCCTGTTGGTTCACAATATGGCAGTTACCATCCATATGAAGATATGAAACCAAGGTTTCATATGTGCATTCACGCAAGCACCGATTTTTATATTTCTAAAGAAATGTATGTGAATTCCTATGTAAGCTGAAAGGGTAACACCCCTGCAAAGAAGGTACATACTCATCAAAATGAAAGGACCTCCTACTTGAGGCTCCCACAAGGTCTGGCTGTTGAGCAGCCGTATTTCTTATTTTTTGGCCACGTGAAAAGTTACCTGGATTGATCTCTTTTAGCCTTATTTTCAGGTGCTTTTTACAGTCATAGTCCTGACATACTGCACAGTCCCATGAAACTCTCTGGGATCTACTGTTACTGTAAAGATTATTACCTAAGGTATAAGAAGTATGGATTTCTTATGGAGCCATGACAAGGTTTTCAAAGATCAACTTAAAGATGAAAAATCTGTCTACGTTTCTTAAATAACATTTTTAGAGATATGACATTCAGGTCACCTGATAGGAAGTGAAACTATTTCTATGTATTTTATACATTTACTTTCTGCAAATAGTAGCACCTTGGTAAAAATCAGCTTAACCATTTCCCCTCTGAAAAATCAAAACCGTCTTATCTTTACATGGATTTCTTGTGCAACAGATGAGTGAAATATATACTCCATTTAAGAATCTGAGAAATACGATTGTTAAATCACAAAACTTAACAAGAACATTCAAGGGAAGATGCAAGAACAACTCACGAAAACACTCGCATAGACCAGATTTCCAGCTGATGGCATTCCTTTTACGGGTCTACTGTTTTAAGAAACTAAACTGCTCTCTAATACAAAGGTAAGACAACAAGAAGTTAAAGGCACTTCCCTCCCTTTACAAAAAAAAAGATTTATCGGTGACATAAAAACCTGAGTTGAGTTCTGAGTCCCATAGGTAAACTCAAACCAGCTTTTTGTAGGTTTTCCGGATCTCCCAAGGACTCTGGGCCTGATTCAGAGAATAATTATGGTATGGAAACATCATGTGACTGCTGTCACAGATCTTTTACATGCAAGTCAGTGTGCATGTGTGTCCAATTCAAGACTCAAAATTGAAGACTTATGTGGAGATAATTTTAAATGAAAATAAAACACAGCTTTTGAAAAACCACCCCATTTTCTTTATAAAATAATTGATCACCTAGCCCCAGTAGGAAGGTTCGAAAGTTACTATATAATGAAGTGCTAGTAGCAAGCAACTTGCTATACTTTTCAGGAGCAAGACCGTGATGACAAGAAAAAAGAATCAAGAAAATAAATGCCACAAAGGCATCTCTCCCCTCCTCACCTCCCTTTTGCTTGAAGCATTACTTACTTTCAAATTTGCTTTATTTATATTACACAGCATTAGTACCCCCAAACCAGCTAAATTCTATGCAAACACAGGAAGGATCTTTCCATATTTAAAATCTGAACCTCATTTCCCATGCCCTGAAAATAACTGAGATGTGATGGCAGAATATCACTGGTCTCCAAAACAATCTTCGGATTACCCAACTAACAACCTGGTGTACAGTAAAACAAGCTTCAGAACTGTTCTCTAGCCAGTTCATCCATTTTACCTGTATTCAACAGGGAACTAATCTGATAGTCACAGGTTGTCCCCCTGCTCCAAGTATATCCTCAGAGAGAGAAAGGAGATGGCATACTGTTGCTACTGCCGCCGCTTACTAAGGATTGTCTTAGAGATGGTATTTCAAATCCTCTGGAGGCCAGTGAAGTCACAAGATGCTTTCCACTACCAGAGGAGTACAAAGTACCTGAGCAATAGCAAGGATCTGATCTTAAACTTACAAGATTGTTCTTATTTGGGGGAAAGTGAAAGGAAGGAATAAAATTAATGTATAAGCATAAACAAGCCCAAAACTTGGAAGATGAACTGAAAAGACAATTATCTTTATAAATTTTAAAACGGCACACAGATTCATGCAGGACAATTTTCCATCTGTCCAGATCTGCAGGACACATGCAGAAGATAGCTTCAAGTTAGCATATTTCTTTATATGAAGCTTTTTCCCAAGATATTTATGGTTGGGGGGAGTGGGGGGGGAAGTGCAATGCTACATTGGAATGGTAGTAATTCCTCTTTTACCCTCTGTGTATGTCACCGTCTATTGTTACTCAGTTTTTTAACATTCATCTGAATGTTTCATCCATGCAAAAACTCGTCCCAGCATCTTTTTTCTGAATAACGTTTGGCTTCACAACTGCAAACAATCCTCTACTGCTATTGAGTGCTACAGTCAAGTTCGTTTCACACTGGACGTTAGAATCTGATCCTAAGGCCATTAAATCACAGAGTCTTTTAAAAGTTTAATCTTGAGAGGATTTGGGTTGTAAACAAAGGACACTATACATGGGGAAAGAAACAACAGAAAAATATGAACTTATGACTCTAACGCAACCCCGAGTTCAAATTTTGTGTGTGATTTAGCAAGAAAATTCTAAGCTTTCGGCAGTGGCGCACACACCCTGGCATGTGGGCAAAGCTAAACTGAGCATTGATGCTCACATCCAAAACACACATATGGATCCCATTTTACCATAGACGTGATTCTTCATGTGCAAAACATGTGTCCGACTGGTTTTCTTCGGCTTTTTAAGATGTGCTTCTTTTTCTTTGGTGGGGGGCAGGGAGCAGAGAAGTAAATAAATAATTTGTGTGGTACTTGAAAATACATCATCTACAAAGAGAATGGCCTGGGATTCAATGCCAGGTAAAAAGCCTGTACTTCAGCTGTACCAATTTCAGCAAACAACCAAATGCCAACAGTGAGAAACTTAGTCCACTACACAGCTTCTGCAACACGTTAATCTGTCCCACTCTGTAACTGCTAGATAGGAAAGGGAAAAAGGGCTCCAGATGCTAATAACTTGGAAGTGGTAATTAGAGGAGTCCACATTACTGCTGCGAGACTCCCATCTTCCCTTGATTGCTGGAAAGAAAATTTTGTCCAGTGGGTCTCCTTCTCACTTCCAAAATATGCAGCACTTCTGTGTTCCTAAGCTCCGTCTCCTCCTCACTGAACACAACAACAGGAGCTCAGTTGGGCCTGGAAAACTTTTTTTACCTTCCCCAACATTGGCGGATGCCATATTTCGCATAGAAAATGTAGGAAAACATTCACAAGGTTATAAGGTGACCTAACAGGGAAGTCCTGCAAGCCCCAACTTTTAGCTACACAAGATCAAAATTGCCTCCCGCAGTCCCAGTCTGACTGTGACAGAGAACAAGAGAGTCTGCTCCCCTTGCTTTAAAGGGTAACAAATATCTTTAAAGGCTTGTTGAGCATTTATAATCTCTGGGACCACAGAGACAAAGTAAGTCTGGAAAGGGTCTGAACGTCGCATGAGAAAGTAAAAGGAAAAATACACTTATCACAAAGAGGGAATGCATTTGTATTATTCTATTGAAATAGCACAAGGCTACAATGACAGGCTATAAATTTTTCTCTTGGACTGTAACCAATATTTTCCATTTCAAGTAACAACAATGTAAGAAAGACAGACTCAGAATTAATAGAAATTATGGGCATAAATCGGTAGGTACTTAGGTGAAAGAGAACCTCAAATTCGGGTATCGTTAAAGGAGAAAAGGTTAACTAGCCCTTTGAGCAACCCTTGGATCCATTTACACTGCTGACACACTGACCAAAAAAGTATGCTTAGATTTTACCGATGATGTCCATCTTTATAGTTCTCAGATTCATAGCCTAGAATGTTACGGTAAATTCTTGGCAGTGAAATTATCCCTGAAATTTAACATCACACATAACACTAAACCTAATCTATGACTCCAAATAATAATAGCAGCAATAGTAACTATGTGGTTCTGCAGTGATGAGAATTAAGTTACAGAAATTTCTCAATTCTACTTTTTCTTATTTGATATGTCATTTCACTTAACAACCAAGAATTATTAAATATTAATAATTTGAAATCAGTGATGCGCCTTAAGATATACATTTACAGACTTAGTATTTTTCTTAACCTTTCTGTTGCTGTAACTGGCTATTGAAACATCGGCTGCTCATTTAAGAGAGAAACAAAACAAACAAGCAAAAAACCCAGGACTGAACAGCAAGGAGACTGTTAGCCAAAGCCAACGTACATTAGCAAAGCTGGGTCCAGAAGATGCACAATCTCTCCTCCATTTTAAGACCCAATCCTACATTTGTTTAGCGAATGCAAATCCCCATGATTTTCCAACAGCTCCATCGAACCTTGGGAGATAAGTCTTATAACTGAAAATAAAGTTGACAAGTCCTTCTTTTTCCCCTATGCAGACTTCTAAAAGAGATGGACTGTGAATATTGTAAAAAAAATAAAATCAATGCAAAGTTATTTAGCACAGGTGTTCCTGTTATTGTTCTACATTTGGAAAGCCCACACATTCAGCGCACCTTCAATTCGCACACCCAGCTGCATGAGGTGGTGGTCTATTGTTCGTTTAGAGGTTTGCAGTAAAAAGCATGAAGTAATATTGGCAAGCTCAGGAGCTATTTTTTTCCTCTTATGATGTCTCCCTGCATCTATTTATCTAGCTCTCCTTGCTTTGTTTCTGCTTTTATATTCAGTATATTCAAAAAAGGGTCAGAATAGGTTTTAAAGATGTAATGCCACGCTCAAGCCTTTTGAACACTAAGAGGAAACCTCAAAAGGTTCACGCATAAGGGAACAAAGATATAAGGATAGCTTTGAACCTGAGGGGCTCTCTCACTGCAAGCAAGTGCATTGCCAGCATGTCACAGGTGTACACCACATGAGCAAGTGAAAAAATAAAATGCGATTGTGAAGGGGTGTGATGCTGACGGGTCCGAGTCCAGA